TAAAACTACCAGTGTATCTCAAAAAGTATTTATTAATTTTAAATAATTATGTAGGATCTATATCGATTAGCTAAGATTAAAGATGGATCCTAACAATCACAAAAAAATATCTTTGAAATGATATTTCAAAATATTTAGGATTTGGAAGGAAATGAAAATTATAAGGCACTTCTCACATCATCAAATTTTTTCCTACTAGTTAAATTTTCTGGAAGAAAATATTTCATATAGAGTCCTTTCCTGCTTTGAAGATATACTAGTTTTTGACTGTGTCAGTAAGTCATAAGAACTAGTTCTGCTAAATCATAAGAACTAGTCCTGCTAATCAATATCTATGTGAGCAACTATTTCTAGAAGCAGCTGTCCACATCTTTTTTTCTCTCTCAAAGAAGTAGCAATTACTCTTACCTTCATAGACTCTTAGGATTTCTACTGTAAGTTTTTCTCTCATATAATTATTTCAGTGATCACCCTTAGGTGGTAAAGAATGGCAAATGGAAAAACAAAGTTAAGCACCTAAGTAAAATTAGTGATTAAAGAACTATATGAATCAGATAGATTATAAAAAAATTAAAAGATTTTAATTTCAAGATAGCCAGCTATTTTTTGTTGTAACAATCAAAACATGATTTAGAAAAAGTGAATTCAGCAGAAACTTTAGATTCACTAGTCCTAAACATAAAAGCCAAATGCACTTGTGCAAGAGAGTATTTTGTTGCTCATTTACTGTTAATTAGAAATATTAAAAAACATAACTGTGGTTGGCTTAAATTTAAATGAACACAGGTTAAAAAACACCCAGTAAAGACCAGGAAAAGACTTAAGATAAAACCAAAATTACAATTTAAAGAAATGCTATTCTAAAAATTTGGGTCTATAGGATCACTTCATAAGTTTGCATATTAGAGGAATAACCTTGGAAATGAAAGTATGAATGCAATGGAAGAATTTAAATTTATTTTTAGAAATTGTAAGCATTAAGTGTTCTTTTGGTGAAGTTATACATTAACTGGCAAACAGGAGATTGTTAAGCTAACTCTAATCATCTTATTTCCATAAGCCCTAGCAATTAATCATCATCAAACATTCAAGGGCCTTTTATGTGTTGCACTATAAAATATACAACAGGATCTCTTCATGTCCAAGCATGAAAAAAAGAGCAAGCATTAAGTGTGTCCACACACCCACAGCCCCGGTCTGAAGAAATTGGTCTCAGGGTTGTTTTTATATGAAGTCATTATACTTTCTTCCATTTGCATTAAATTAAATCAATCATGCTATCCTTGCCACACTGAATTGATCCAGGGATTGGTTAGCTGAACCAAATACAATCATATTAAAGCTCTAACATAAATTCTATTCAAGAAATGCTTCTATTGGATGGTTATCCCAGGATCAAAAAGATCAAAATTTGGGGGGAGAAATATTAAAGATATTTTCAGATCAAAGAAGCACATTGTAAATATTAGGTATATTCTTAAAAATGTAGATTATACTGATTATAGACTATAGATTGTACTCTGAACAATTCTGTGTTGTTATTCTAGTTCTCCATGAGCCTGTTACACATCTTAGGCCAGGTGTGGGGAACTTTTTCATACAGGAAGGCTGCATTAATTGAGCTGTAATCAAATAAGGCCTCATTCAAGAAACTTCACAAAAAATGAAAATGAAAATTATTTGATAATTTTAAAGTTAACTAACTTTTCAATGACTTCATAGTGTTTGCTTTTTGTTGGAAAGCATGTGAATATTTGGTTGTAGCATGGAGGTCTACAGTTTCAGTTGATTCTCTAGATGGGTTTACATGGTTATCAGTCATTTGTGATCTTAGGGCTTCTTGATTTGGGTTAGGTAAGAGAATGCAGATTTGTAGCAATAAATGGTTAAGGGGCGGTGCCTGTGGCCCAGTGGGTAGGGCGCCGGCCCCATATACTGAGGGTGGTGGGTTCGAACCAGGCCCCAGCCAAACTGCAACAAAAAAATAAAATAAAATAAAATAATAAATGGTTAAAAGCAAGAAAGCATTTTTCAGGTGTGTTACCAAAGGCATGGGTGTATTCTATTGCATTTTTCCACATTTCAATTGTATCTTTCTCAGCACCAAACAATGACTTTAAAATGTCACCTACAGTGAGTTCAATCAATTCTATCTATAATTCTTTAGGTGTCTTGGTGATGTCAACTAGGTAAGGCTGAAACACTAATTTGAGTGTGATGTCATGGTTCTCAAAGTCAGTGAAACTTTCATTATAGTCTCTACTTAACAGGTCTATAATACTTGTGTATTCTTCAAATAAATCACATAAAACATCCTGCTCATCAATGACCTTTGCTAACTGAGAACAATGTTCATCTGAAAGAACCTTTTGAAGTATTTTTTTTTAAATAGCTTTTTTAAAAATGGTTGGACTTTTGGCCACATATCATGTCAAGACTTAGTTTTAGGGCGGTGCTTGTGGCTCAAAAGGGTAGGGACCTGGCCCTATATGCTGGAGGTGGCGGGTTCAAACCCAGCCCTGGCCAAAAAAAAAAAAAAAAAAAAAAAAGACTTAGTTTTAGCTTGCAGAGAAATATTCAAGTTGCTTTGATTTGACATATCACACAGAAATGCTATATTCCTACAGAAATACTCTTTTAATAATTCACATTGCTAAATCTCTTCTTCATAAAGTTTAACTATCTTTTCTCACAAAGTTAAAAGTTTGGCTAACACCTATCCATGTGATGGCCAATGCACTTTAAAATGATGTGGCAAATCTACACTAAATCCCTCATCCTTCAACTGTAGCATGTCATGAAACTGATGATGCCATGTTGCATCTGCATGAATATAGTTAACAATATTTATAACTTGTTGCAGTGTCCACTAAAATAGTAGGCTTAGCACAGAGATTTTGCTGATGCGAGGTACAATAAAAAGAAGAAAGAGTATCTGGATCTGTGAATACTTTTTAAAAACTGTCCAATAAACCCTTCAGGTTTTCCTGTCATGGATGCACATCTGTACATATACTCCCTAAATTTACCAAATTCAGTCCAATTTCACAACATTTATCTTTAAGGTTGTTTAAGATATCTATTCCCCATGTTCTGTTGGCAGGAGTGCCCAAACAAGTAACTCTTTGTAATAAACAAAATCTTCTGGGGCGGCGCCTATGGCTCAGTGAGTAGGGTACTGGCCCCATATACCGAGGGTGGCGGGTTCAAACCTGGCCCTGGCCAAACTGCAACAAAAAAATAGCC